ATATCCTCTAATTAAGCAAGGTAGCTAACATCAATACTGACATCATTTTCAACTAAAATGTGCTGTTTATATTGAGATTCACTTTTTTATGCTTAGTAAGTTTTTTAAAGTTTACTTAGTACAGGGTCTACAGGGTCTCACAATGGTAGTGATCCTCCTGTTTTCAGCCTCCCAAGTGCTGGGATTACAGGCATGTGCCACCATGCCCAGTCTCAGTCCCTGTCTCAGTGTGTCCCAAGGGTGGAGCTGGCCCAGCACACTGGGGATCAAACCCAGTCACTGAGCCTGCCTAAGTAGGCACTTTATTCCACTGAGCTATCTGGCCAGACCAAATATTTTATTTTGAAAAGGAGAAATTTCATACATTCACTCTTTCTTTTTAAAATGTGTATCTGTGGGTTTTGACAAGAGCACAACATTGTGTATTCACCACTACAATGTCATATCAAATAGTTACAATGCCTTTAAATTCCCCATGATTAATCTATGTATAATCTCTTGCTGCTGCGAAAGCTATCTACTGGTATTTCACTTCACCAGTCTTAGCAGGCTGAGAATTTTCTCATGTCTTTGGATTGATGGAGAGTCTGTTAAATTGACCTGTTCCTAAAGCACATATGATTGTCCTTGTTGGAACATCAGGACTAGTTATATTTACCATATTAAAAATCAGGGCATCTCTGTAGGTAGGGACATACACCAGAGATAGGACTAGGAGTGTTTTTCATTTTTACAGAGATCAAGTGAAGCACTTACCACCTACTCAGAGGACTTCAGAGTTTAGAAGCATTCAGGTGCAGCTTATATTTTCTTTCCTCCAGTCCAGTGAGCATGGTCGTGCCTCACCTATACCTTGTTAGGGAACTGAGGGTTTTGGCCCCATGCATAGCTCATGTACTATCTTAGTTACTCTTCTCTTGTTTCTGGGACAAATACCTGACACTCCAAATGAAAAAAGGAAAGACTTATTTAGTTCACAGTTACTGGAAGTTTCATAGTTTAAAAGTCTGAACTACATATCAAGACCTCAGAGACTTATTTGCTCAGGAGAGAGGGTCAGTGCCTCTGTCTTGTCCAAACATCTCTCTGCCAGAGGCAGCTTCAATGGCAGACACCAACGCCCTGCTCTACAGGGTCTGGAGGAGGCGCTGGGGGCCACTGTGTCCAGGATAACCTGCCGCACACCTCTGAGAGACCACTGGCCTGGGGGGAGGGTGCAGGCACATGCTGCCGTTTTAGCAGTGTGCACCTCTCAGGCCCTAACCCTCAAGTCCCTCCCTGGTCCTCTGGCCCAGCACCTCAAGCCACTTGCTGCTTCTCAGGTCTCCTCTGCCCCATGACTTACATGAGTCTTTGGGGGAACAACTAGACACAAACCATAACATGCACATAGATGTATGTTACATGTACTGTTTACAATAAGTACTTCCCTTTAACATCCTACAAAAGTATCCAAGTGGTCTCAAAAATTATCCTAATTTATCTGGCAAGACAAGCATTATACAGAGTTTGATTCCTGATACAAAAAAAGTTCATGAAATTAAAACAGACAAGTAGTATATTATGCTGAAGGTCAGACTACTTATCACACATTTGGCAAAGTTTGAAACTATGTTATTGTCCTTCTCAGAAATATAATTCAAGGTCAAAACATTATAGGCCAAAGTTAATTTTTATATTAAAAAGTCTATTTCTATTGAAGCATTTCCAGGGTGAGGAAATGGGCAGGAAGGGCCTTCTACATGATGTGGCTGGGGGCAGGGGATGCTGGCACTTCCCATGACAGTAAGGTACACCCATTGCCTACTCAGTTTTACATTCTGAATTCAGGTCAGTGTTCAGTGCCTTGGACACAGGCATCTTATACAGACTGGGAAATATATTTTATTTCTCTGAGTATAGAAATAAATTCTGAAACAGAGCTGGATTCAGGTTGGGAGGATTGGAAATAGGGTGGTCTGTAGATGACCTCACACGCAGAGTCTATTTCTGGCCTTGTCATTTCCTACACAGGGACCCTGAGAAGTTCCTGAGCCCCATTGTCCTCCAATTCATCATCTATAAATTTGGTTTGACACACGTTTGGTTGTAGGAATAGTGAAATGTAACAAATGTATTATAATACTCACCATAATTTATAACATATAGCAAATAATCGGTGATAAACATCTGGTTCTAGTATCAATACAGACACTTCCACTTTCTTTCTAGAAAATTTATGCATAGTTTTCTGAGCGAAGCTGCAGCTCCAGAGGAAACTGAATGTGAAATGAGGCAAAAGTACTATTAAGGTATCATTTTCCTTCATATTTTATCTCTAAGAGGATGTATTCCTTGATTAGATGCTGGGGAGAATTTACCTGAGGGCACCAACTAATTCAAACTTCCTGGGTTTTGATTGAGTTGCCATACTTTTGCTTCCCTGCTAGCTTCTTTCCACTGGAACATCTATTTTCAATCGTATCCCCTTCATCAAAAGTCTAGCCTTAGGACTCTGAAGGCACCTATGAGAAGGGGCCAAAATTCTGGTCATTCTAAAAATAAGGCAAAGCTTACCACAAATGCAATTTGATGAAGTTTCAACTAATGTTTTCAAGTCCTGACATCACTAGCATAAACCTCCTTCACAAATAAAACAATTGAAAACTGTCCCAGGTTGAGTACAGGTATAAGGCAAAAAGAAGACATCTGGAATGCTGTGTTTCTGGAAGGATAACCACTTACTCAGAAAGTGATCTGACCTCTTGGGCAACTGGATGATACCACTGGACAGATCACAACAGCTATATTGTAAGAGTGTGGAGGCAAACTGAACTGAAGTTGATAATTTTTCTTCAACTGAGATAATGCAAAAAAAACCTTGGCAAGCTGATACTTTCAGCAGAAAGCAGAGCACCTGTTAAACGACTTCATGACCTCAGTTCATGTGAGAATCACCCTTATATCTCAAGAAAACCTTACAGAGACTGAGCATAAGTTCCCTGGCTTATGCTCTGCATAGGACCACTCCTCTCATAGCTGTCCCAGGTGAGGATTTCTCTCATCTTTATCCATGATCTAAAAGTGTTATTTGGAGCAGCCTTTTATGCTCTTAGGCTGTCTTCTCAGGCCTAAGACACCTCCTCTGAGAGTCTGCCTCAGATTACCATGTAGCACTATTAAAATCAACTCCTGTAGAAGGAACTTCAGTTACTCTAACCCAGAAACTGCTATGGCTCAACACTCACCCACTGCAGCTCTCTATTATACTCCATTGCCTCAGTCAGTGGTCCATTACTTGCTCTTTAGGTGCTTGTGGACCTCTTTCTGTCTCTTAGTTTTGGTGATATTGCTACACTGCTCTGTCATATAGCATAGGTTTATTCCAGATCAGTCTACTTTACACATATCTCTACTACAGACACAGGACCTTCCAAAGAGCAAAGATGTAATGAGAGCTTGATTCTTAATGTGTTTGTAAGCAGGTGAAGTTCTACATTGACAGCAGAATTTCCAATATAAAATAATGAAAGAAACTGAGAAAATTCAGGTATGCATATATTTTTATGATAGTTTATTTTATTTTTAAAGATGAGAAACGATACAGAATTTCACTAAACAAAATGAGAGGAATTCAACAATGGCTGTTATAGTGCATATTGTTATCTTAAAATTAGTTGTTCACATTACCAGATATAAGCATGAAAAATTTGCCAAAAATTAAAGATGCAGAAAAATTAAACATTACTTGTTCCTAGATTAAGCATTACTAGATATAAGCAGGCAAAATCTGCCAAAAATTAAAGATGCAAAAAATTAAACATTACTTGTTCCTTTCAATATAGCAGCAGAAATCAGCAGTACAATTATCTAAGCAACCCTGTGTCTATACAAATATATTTCTTTTCCTTTCCTTCTTTCTTTTGTCCTTTCCCTCATGCCAGCTGTTCCTTCCCTTTGAACAGTCTTATCCTTTCACATTATCCATTGTACCTTTAAGATTTTATTTACTCTTTCAGTTTCTTATACTAGGGAGGTAATACAATGTCTACAAATGTAGGTCTGATTTATTTCACTTAGGAGTTTTTTCTCTAGTATCAAATTACCTATAAAAACTTCAAGTTTATTTTTTTGTAGCTGAGTAAAACTCCACTTTATAAAAATACCACATCTTTTCTTGTCCATTTTATTTATTTTTATTTTTTATGTATTTGGTACAGGGTCTCACTACACAGCTTAGACTCATAGTGATCCTCCTGTTTACAGCCTCCCCAGTTCTGGGATTACAGGTATGTTCCACCATGCCTGGATTCCTGCCAAGAGCCAGAGCCAGGAGGAGATGTGGTACTTAGGATTGAACCCTGGTACTTGCATTTGCATAAGCACGTTCTTAGTCTGCTGAGTTATCTCACCAGTCCTATATCCATTATATTTTTACTAATATCAAATACCAGGTTTTTATCATATGCCTATTTTTGGATTCTAGCTCACTTAAATCTCATACACATTTCCAAGGAAATTTTAATTCCATTTTTATAGTAACTTGTTTCATTTTACAAATAAAATAAATTATTTCCCAGCTGACTTTACACAATTTCAGATGTCTGCATTTACAATTGAAGAGCAAAATTCTTGTGTGATCAATATTCAAAATCACATTCGTGTCTGAAATAAAAATCAACCATCAATATCAGAAAATTAAAATATATGTAAGATCAATATCCTTCAAACAAAATGCAAAATCTCCTCCAATCCAGGAAAAATAAACAACACAACTCATGATGAAAGCACATGTCAGTTTTTATGTATCCCAAATAGAACAATCATCAGGATAGTATGCGCTGTATTATTGCTGTCATACTTTGGCCATGCACTACTTAGAAAAATGCCTGCTACCCACAAACATAGGCTATAGAATGGGTCTTTTATCATAGGAGGTAAGAATTAAACTAGATGTAAGTTAAACTAGTTCCAGAATAATACTTGTCCCTATCCTGAACTTCAACTATCTCTGTGGCTTATCACTCCAGCATGGCATCCTGTAGGTCATCTCTCACAGCTTTTTCATACAGACGTGTATATGACCTGGGATCTCTCCTATTAACTTTTGCCAAATGCTCCAGCACTTTCATCTTGGTGGTTTCAGCATGGGCTCTTGGACCCCACAGGAACTCATAGCGAGCACGATTCCTGTTGGGCACCTGCCGGTACTCTATGTAACCTTCCTGTACCAAATCCTGCGTGATGAATTTCCAGGGCTCACCAATAGCAATATATTTACTCTGAGGCAACCTTTCTCTAGTTCTCAGCACTCTCCTTATGTCCTCCTCACTGGCATGGTTATCCTTCAAGAAGATAGTAGTAAGAATTACTATGAGGAGGTTGATTTTGGAAATGACCTGGTCATTAACCAGTATTCCATTATAAGTGAGGCCCAAGAGAGGAATAAGGACATATGTATGGCCAGGAGGATCCACTTCCTTCACATCAATGCCAAAGCTTAGACACATGCATTCACAGACTAAACTGACAATCAGAGGGAAATATACATGGTAGTCTTCATCAACAACATTCAGAATTTCTGCCTTGGTGATTGGCTCTTTCTTTTGAAACTTGAGGAGCAGGATTGGCAATAATTTAGCTATCTTGTCATCTAGGAACACAAGTCGCAAGATCTGACGAACAAGAACATCCTCTGAGTTGCACAGATCCTCCTCTTCTTGCTTGCAGGAGAACTCACTGGATTGGCTCCATTGATTTGAGGCCATGGCAGTTGGGAGAGAGGACATCTTGTGCACTCTAGGGACAAGATAACACCTCAAGGCACTTCTCTTGATGTAGTAGAGATGTGAGTACAGAAGGTAGAAGATGCACAGAAAGCAGTGGCTTCTACTTGTTCTCCCTCAGGCTTGAGAATCTGTACCTCAACTCCTGTGGTTGCCGTGCTGGCTCCTCTGACTATGAAGATGATCGGGCTTTCCTTGGCACAGCAAGTTTAGTGATGAAAAATTTGTGCCTCTAAGAGAGTGCCAGAGGGGGGGAGGGGAAGAGAGAGAGAGAGAGAGAGAGAGAGAGAGAGAGAGAGAGAGAGAGATACTGTGATTGTACTCAGCTGAGAATGGTAGTCTTATTAGCTCCCATGAAGGTCCACAATTGGTCTTCTCTTTGAGGTGCTCTAGTGATTCATAAAAGAGACGCTGTCCCTTAGAACCTGGGTCAAGAGTGTGTGTGATTGTCAGGTTAAGCTGAATAACATAGGTTGGGCTCTAGTGAAGACAGTAGGGCTTATGAAGCCTAAACACATGAAGTCACTCTGGCCTGGGAACCCTAGGCACACATTCAGGGCATGCACCTCACCTTGACTCTTGGCACGTCTGGGCCTCCTCTGCTTCTGTGTAAGCTGTGGACACGGCTCAGACAAAGACCTCCACCACTGGTTCCTGGAGCTTCTGTATAAGGCAGGGAGGATTCAGATTAAAGACCTTATATACAGTCCTGCTGCCTTCACAGTAGGAGTAGGCTGGACTGTATGGAGTTCTTACTGTTGTGAATGTATGGTCCCTTCTCTGGTCCTTCAGAGCCATCAACTCTGCCTGAGCAGGGCCTTAACACCAGCTGCTTACTGGCCTGTGGAAACTTCTCAGTGCAAGTGACCACTTCCATGAGAGGGAATATATATAAAAGGCAGTAAAGGGAAAACACATCTGGACACAGCTGCTTGATGCAACAGCTGGAGGTAGAAAAATTGAGCTGGGTCCAAGAGGTCTGGGAGAAGAATCTGATACATCCTTACCTTTATGAATGGAAAAGGTCTAAGATTCTCCATTGGATGACCTGTTCCCACCTGTAAACTAAACCTTATTTCTGTGAGACATTCAAAGAAAAAGTGACAAGCCAGTCAATCTCTGCTCCTTGGGTCTGACCATAGATGATGAAAGGATAGGCTGAGATTAGGATATTGTATGTTCTGTTGACAGGGTTCACTCTTCTCTCACCTAGATTACTGCCATAGCCTATTATCTTACTTTTGTTGTCTAGAGTCTAGCCCCTTTCTACCAAGATTTTCAACTCCCTGAGACAAATTACCCAGGACTAAGACAGAGCCTTCAGCTTCACTGCCATTTTCAGCTTTACTGAGAGGAATAAAGGTGCATGTTTTATTTTTCCTAGCTCCCACCTGTGTTCTGGGCAGGGCAGGTTCAATCTTTCTTTAGGGTCCTTACTTTGACTCCTGGAAGATCCTGGGGTTACTGTGTCTTCTGACTGCATGGGATTACCTATGTCAATCAGAAGACACCCTCTCTGGTCAAGTTTATCACCTCCCTATGATCTCCAGAATTCTCAGAAGTAGTGATCAGGTGCCCACTGCATCACCTCTATATGGGGAATCCAGTCCTCATGGCAAGAGGTAAACACATCTGTGATGGTCCTGTGATGCAGGACCTATTTTATGACTTAATCTAGATTTCCCACTAAATTCCCATGGGATCATAGGCAGAACTTTCAGAAGATGATTCGAGAATGGGGGCTTATAACTGATATACTGTTAGGTACTGGGACCTGGAAAGAAGAGGAGGGTGAACCAGGGGGAAGGTTTGAGCCTGTGCCCTACACATCCTCTATTTCCCGAGATTGGAAGTATCAGGGTAAGGGCAGTAAGCCTGTACTTGGTGATGCCTTCATCGCCCTGAAATGGTGGTTTTTGCCAGAAGAGTGAAGGTGGTTCCAGTATGAAGAATGTTAGCCCGATCCCTGCGCATCTCCCATTGTCCCAGGAAGACAGTGATAGCAGTAAGAGTCAGCCTGCACCCTGCTCCTTCTCCATTGCCCAGGATAGAAACAACATTGCAGGCAGGAAGATTTTAAGTCCATGCCTAGTGCTTCCTCCATTGCCCTGGGATGGTATTGCAAGTGAGACAATCATGAATTCATGCTGTTTCCATCCTCCACTGCCCCAGAATTGTATTGTTAGAAAGAGGAGACATCCAGTGGAACCAATACCTCCTTGAAAGACTCAACATTAGTGATTAAGACTAATGCTAAAAGCATCAACACAGAAAACAAAATAATGTAGAAGACAGAAAATAACAGCATGAGGACAAAATGTAATCCCAAATACCAAGCCCAACCAGGACAAGTCCAGATCAGAAGGAGGTACAGGAAACCAGAAGGTAACAATTTGAACTCTCTGAAATGATAGCAACAAAAGTGAAAAAGTAAAACAACAAATGGAAGAGGCCATAGAAAAAATAATCTTTAAGGTGTAAAAAGAAATCACTATCAAAATAAAAGACATTAAAGTACACACAGACAAGCAAATAAAGAAGCTCAGGTAAATGATGGGGGAAAACAATATAAAACATAGACAAGAAATGCATTCAATAAAGTAGATCAAACCAGAAATGCAGGTTATTAACTCCACCGAAAGTATACACTGCAAATTGAAAGAAGGGGAGGCTAGAATATTACATCAGAAGATGAGAACTCAATGAGCAACTAGGAAAAGAAAGCTATCTTAGAAGTCACAAGAGCCAGAAAAATCAATCCAAGAGCTACTGGATGAAGCGAAGAAGAATAACACAATATTGATTGGAATCAGTGAGAAAGTTGGAGAAAGCACGAAAACCATTAAAAGTGTCTTCACATAAATAGTGCAGAAAACTTTCCAAACAGAGATAAAGATTTTGATATACAAATAAATGAGGTATAGAAAAGTATAAATATCTATGACAAAATAAATCCACACTAAGGCACATAATAATCAAAATTTCACAAATTTGGCATAAAAACAAAATATTAAAAGTACCTAGAGAAAAGAAATATATCATCTATAAAAGAAAACCTATGAGAATCACAGCGGACTTTTCAATACAAACCATCAAGTTAATGAGAACTTGGATTGAAGTATTTCAATTCATAAAGGAAATCAACTTTCAACCCAGATTTATAGACCCCACAAATCTATACTTCAAAATTAATGGATAACTATGATACTTCCATGACAACGAGCAACTGGAGAAATTCATAACCACCAAATCAGATCTACAGAATGCACCAGAAGGCATATTAGAACGAGATAGTTAGGACCATATACATAGGAACACCAATAGAATGAAGTTGCCAGGCACAGAAAGAAAACAAATAGAGCACATACAATAGGGAAACACATAAAAAGAATATATATATATATATATATATATATATATATATGTGTGTGTGTGTGTGTGTAATAACCATCAATGTAAATGGACTCAACTCAAAAAGAAGCAGACTGGCAAAATGGATCAAGAAGCAAGATTCAACAATATGCTGGTTTCAAGAAACATTTAATCCAAAAAGAAATTCATAGACTAAAAGTCAGATGGTAGAAAACAGTTCTCCATGCCACAGGAATCAAGCATAAAGCAGAGATAGCTATTCTATTTGCAGGTAGTGCAAACTTTAAGCCACAACTAATCAAAAGAGACAAAGAAGGTCACTACATACTCATTTAGGGAAAAATTTAAGGAGATAGCAATCATAAATATTTATGCAGCAAACACAGGTTCACACAAATATGTATAACAAATCTTAACTGATATGAGACACCAAATAAGAGCTAAAAAAAATTGTACTGGTGGAATCTTAGTCCATTCTCACTAATGCATAGGTCAGCTAGACAGAAAGCTAACAAAGAAGTATTACAATTAAAACCAAGACTGTGAAAAAATGGACTTGCTACATGTATATGGAGTGTTCCACCTCTTTAAAAAATGGTATTGGAAAAAATTGTTTTCCACCTGCCAAAGGCTAAAACTAGACCCATGACTATCACCATGGACAAAACTATGGTCAAAATGAATCAAAGATTTAAATATTAAAACAAAAACACTAGTTTATGGAAGAAAATGTAGGTGGAAATCTTAAAGATATGGGGAGAAGTAAAGAGTTCATGAACAAAAAACAAACTGAGTGGAAAATACTTCAAAGAATCAACAACTGGAATCTCATATTTTTGAAAACTTTCTGCATTTCAAAGCAAATATCCAAAAGAGCAAAATGAAAACCCAAAAAAAAAAAGGAAAATATTATAGCCAACTGTCCCTATGACAAAGGCCTTCTATCAAGAACATAAAAAGAAATTTAAAAAATCAGTCCCCCACATTCAAAGACCCAATCCAAAAATGGGCATCTGATAACAGACATTTCTCAGAGGAAGAAATACAAATGGTAATAAATACCTGAAAAAATGTGTAACTTCATTGGTCATTTGAGAAATGCAAATTAAAATAACACTAGGATCCCAGCTCACCCCAGAAAGAATGGCTAACATCAAGAAGTCAGCCAACAACAAATGCTGAGGATGCTATTGGGGAAAAGGATCCTTTCTACATTGTTGTTGGGAGTGCAGACTGGTACAACCACTATGAAAATCAATGTGGAGATTCCTTTTTTTTTTTTTTTTTTTTTTGGTGGAACCAGGGATTGAACTCAGGCCTGTGAGCTTGCCAGGGAAGTACTTATTCTACTGAGTCATCTCCCTGGCCCTGGAGACTCCTTTAAAACCTAGGATTGGAGATCACTTTCAAGCCAACTATTCCCTTCTTGAGCATTTTTCCCAGAAGATGAAAACATCATACCACTGCAATATATGTGCACACATGTTTACAGGAGTGTAATTTGTCAGAGCTCAATCCTAGAAACAACCCAGCTGTCCATCAACTGAAGAATGGATAAAGAAGTTGTGGTGTTTTTACACAATGAGGCATTATTCAACTACAAAACAGGA